CTTATGCCTCCATATCACCTCGTTTTAATAATCTTTTTCATATGCCCCTCTCATTGACCCCTCGTATCCCGCATGTAGCACCTCCATCTCCCAACATATTTGCTTTTTATACTCATATCTCAGCTTCTGTACAATATAATGAACCATAAGAAGCCGACCTGAGGTACCGCCACATTAGCTCCTCATTGCCAACTGATTGTCGCTATCACTGTGCATCGCTCTATATTACCCACGGGTAATACAAGCTGGTACCTCCCGCTCACAGTGACAACGCTCATGTGTAGACTCAAAGCGAGCTTATACCTAGAATCTTCAATTTTATCTCTCAATCGCCTCATCCTCGTTATACTCGCTCTCTCTAACAGTAGCATACATCACTGAATGTGTGCTAGTTAAGAGTCGGAGGTGAAGCGAGCTTCTATAGTAGCTATGTACTCTCCTAATATCACGCGAATCTCTACTTAATTTCTGCAGTTGTATCGGGCTCTTTCAGTGAATAGAAGTGACCAGTAAGCCTCTTAATCAGTCGGCGAGCGTACGCAGCAACACTTATATGTTTGCTTATCTGATCAATTTTCAACTTTCTCTCTGTGGATTTTCTCTGTGTTATATCAATTGGCAGGCCACAGCTTACACCAGCCAGTCCCACACTGAAGATATGGACATATATCGCAATTACTAACGACGGACACTCGGTTTGTTCCACTTCACTCTCTCTCATTTTTGCTTTTCCGAGTTCAACGCATTCGCGCGTATAGTTAATGATACGTCCAGCCATCTAATTGTAATTATTACATATTTCCTAATATTGAATCATTGAATAATTAAGCACATAAAAACTCAACTTTAGAACTGGGTCAATGTAGTGTTCGTGTATTTCCGCGATACAAAACTAAGGGTAATATGAAAAAACGTAATTACTCAGTGGCAGTTTCTTCATTCTCTTAATACATATTCTCTTTTAAAATGATTTATGTTTTCCTATTATGAAAAAAGAAAAAAAATAATACAATATAATGAGAACGCCATGATATATATACTATATATATGTCGCTTCAATGCCTTAGTTCCTCATTTCTATGTTATTTTCCTTTTCAAAATACAAACCAAAAAAACAAAACAACAGTACAACAACGCACATTCAAGCCGACCGGCACCGAGTGTCCGCGAATCTCCCTCCCGTTGGGACCGAAGCGCCCAATTCTCGGCCCGAGGATGATGGCGCCCACGAGAGCTGCGACGCCGCCCGTGAGGTGGACGACGCCCGATCCTGCGAAGTCCTGGTAGCCGCGGATGGACAGCCAGCCCTCCTCCGTCCACGCCCAGTGAGTCACGATGGGGTACACGAAGGCTGTGAATGGGACATGGGGTATTAAGGGTATTGGGGGGCATGGGGTTTTAGGGGTATTGGGGTGCATGGGGAAATGAGGGCAAGGGGGTATTGGGGTATTAGGTGGCATAGGCCATTAGGGGCATGGGGTATTAGGTGAGATGGGGTATTAAGGGGTGATGGGGTACTGGGGGGCATGAGGTATTAAGGGTATTAGGGGCAATGGGGTATTGGGGAATTAAGGGACTTGGGGTAATGAGGGCAAGGGGGTATTGGGGGCATGGGATATTAGGGGGCATGGGGTATTAAGGAGTATTGGGGGGGGCATGGGGGTATGGCTATTAGGGGGCATGGGGATTAGGGCAATGGGGTATTGGGACAGGGTATTATGGGGTATTGGGGGGCATGGGGAATTAAGGGGGCATGGGTATTGGGGATGGGGAATTGGGGGGGCAAGGGGCATGGGGTATTAAGGGCATGCATGGGTATTAAGGGGCATGGGTACTAGGGGGCATGGGGTATTAAGGGCATGGGGTACTAGGGGGCATGGGAATTAAGGGGCATGGGGTATTGGAATTGGGGGGCATGGGGGAATTAAGGGGCATGGGAATTAAGGGGGCATGGGGTATAATGGGGCATCGAGGGTATTGTGTTGGAATTTCCCTTCATTTCTAACAGTAGTTCCCCAGCCCATGGCCACGACCCAAATGAGTTTTTTTTTGTGAGGGTCACCGGATTGTTAGACACTGAAGAAAAAACTTATGATCTTTTGTGACCGGTAAGTAAAGGTCAGTGTTTTGTAAGACCTGTTTCCTTTTCCTTTTTAAATTCACTGAAATTCATTGTTTTAATATAAACCTATATATTGAATGGCGTAAGCTCCTAACACTTGCAGGTATAATATCAGGAAACATTTTTGGGTTTATTACTGATGTTTACACGTTTAGGGTCGCTAGTCCAGGTTAACACTACATTTAGGGTCGTAGCCAAAAAAGGTTGGGAAATACCTATTCTCTCTCTCTCTCTCTCTCTCTTTCTCTCTCTTTCTCTTTCTTCTCTCTCTCTTTCTCTCTCTCTCTTTCTCTTCTCTCTCTTTCTCTTCTCTCTCTTTCTCTCTTCTCTCTCTCTCTCTCTCTCCCTCATTCTCTTTCACTCTCATACTATATATCATATCATATATTACATTACATTCTACCCAACTACACCACGTAATCCTAAGAAACAGAACCAGCGCACTCCGTCGTCCTGACCTGTTAAAATAATGGAATAGATGAAGTAGGCGCTGAAGGCACACCTCTCAGCCATGGAGCCCGAGACGATGGTGGCGCAGGTGGCGGCGAACACGAACTGGAAGAACCAGAAGGCGAGCCGCTCGTCAGGAACGCCGACGGAGGCCCAGTAGACGGTCCCGCAGAACATGTTGCCCTCTCCGAAGGCCAGAGCGTAGCCCACGAGCCAGTAGGAGATCCCGCCGATGACTGCAAGGGAACGAGGGACTTAGGCTCTGGTTCAGGATTTTTCACGGGGGAAATCTGATGGATATGGGCTGTAATGCTGTAGGTTGTATATGTACGTCCTTATGTCGACTGCACATACATTCATTCACATTCAGTTTGACAATGACACACCTGTACAAAGATTAACCTCTACAAAGATTATATGTATATACATACATACATACATATATATATATATGTATATATATATATTATATATATACTTATATATTATTAAATATAAACACTGTAATTATCTTATGCACACCCATAACAAAATACCATCGATGCCAACGCACACAATCAACCCGCTCAAAGTTGCCTTAACAAAACCCGCTAAAAAATAACCCGCTTCAAATTAGATGAATAAAACCCGCTCGAAACTGAATGGATGAAGCCAGATGAAACTACCTTAATGTGTGACGTGCTTACAACGGCTTCCACCTAAAATTTAAACCTATGTAAGGAAAAACTACTTAAATATGTAACGCGTGTGTGTGTGTGTGTGTGTGTGTGTGTACATATACAAGGGTTCGAGTCCTGATCGGAGAGGTTATTTATTCATATACATATATATACTGAGGTTATCTTCAAAAAACAACCGAATTCGTAAACTACATCGAACTGCTTTCGTTTCCACATCAGAAAAACACGCAGTGCCCCATAGCGAATGCCGGATTCCCCGTTTTCTTTTCGTCTCGCTCAGAGCACACGAAAATTGGCCCTTCCACAATGGCTGGGTTCCTATCGCCAGGCAGAGTTAAAAGAAATCGTGATTCACTCTATTACTCGTTTCCATACATAATTTGATGACGATTTCAACTGTGACATATTGTAACGTATCAAAGAAAAATCTTGTCATGTGCGAGTCACTTTGTCGGTATAAATCCACGCAATGTTCTGCAAAGAAAATGATCGTACAGTAGTGCAATTTATTACTAGCCATTTATTTATTTTCCACGATATTCTTCAAGATACAACCATTCCATAAATTGAATACTTACTGTCTTTTTCATTTACATATTTTCATTTAAAATACGACCCCTCCCCCTTAAAGGACCTTCGGGGAACCTTAGGGGAACCTTCAAGGGACCTCCCCCCCCGCCACCAAATCAGTATCTAAATGTTTCGGTTTTACTCTCACGAAAAGTAATCTGACTCAGAACAACAGTTTATTATAGTTGAAATCAACAATATCTTCACCTTACACATATACTTGATAGAAATGCCTTAAATACCGAACTGGTAGTTTATAGGTAAAACCCCAACTCGATTGTTATTATTACTGAAACCTATGGCTCAACGACTGATCTTTCTAAAGCGAACTCCTGCTTCGTAGTTGGTCAAGAAAAGGAAGACAAGCAAAGAAAAAAAAATAGCTATCGTGTATCAGTGCCTCTTCTTCTGGCGCTGGTCTGGTAGCGGGTTGCAAAACAAAAAACATTGAATGATATATCCCTGCGCTGCACTAAATTATACATGAAAAGAAGCAGTTTCTCGTCGTACGTTTGTTTCTTGTAAGGGTCGACATCATACTAGGGATGTCTGCATTCGTGGATATAAAATCCAAGTATCTTATAGCAACCAAACCCATAGTGTGCTGTCTTGGAAACTCGTGAAAACTATTTAGTATGTAGACTCGACAGGAACACTCATGACTAGAATACAATAAGCAGGTGTAGTACATGAGAGGTATTGAAACCATATTCCTTATGGCTGAAAGACAAACAAAATAATATTTTTTGGTGATTCTTCTACTTCTAAAGCTGTAGTGCTAACAAGAGAAAAAAAAAATATTGATATATACTAGCAAGTTTTCACATTCAAAAGGAACATGTGTTGCTGTCACTCCGAAGGTATAGTGTGAGTAATAGAATCATCAACCCTGCCTATACAGAAGATACTCGCCATGAATACTAAAATTGTTTACAACACAAGGACCTTGACAAAGGCCTTATGAGAAAAACATACACATATTGTACACAATACTCGATACATGATTAGAAATCACTAAAAAAAAGTTTCGAAAAAAATCAGGACTAAAGTATGGCTAATCTCTAACCTTGTTTATCGTTTTTCTTTTTGTCTCTCATTCTTTCTCTATAAACAAAGGGGCGGCCATATCTAAATCATGAATTGAATCGCCTAAAACTGAATATCGAATACTAGACGACAGGCAACCACTTGCCAAGTACTATACGAACCTTTCTGTTAATAACATAGTGTCCGTAGTTAGCCATCGAACCAAGAAAAAATTATATCAAACCATTATTCTCCACATTTCTCTTCGAATTTCTTATACAATCACGAAAGAGAAGTTATATCTGCGAATGTCTTTGCCAAGTACATACGAACCTTTCTGTTGTGTTAGATCAAAACATTATAGTGTTTGTAGTTAGCCATCGAACCAAGAAAAAATAATATCAAACCATTTTTCTCCATATTTCTCTTCGACTTTCTTATACAATCACGAAAGAGAAGTTATATCTGCGAATGACTTTACATTCAGTAGATTCGTCATGGCATTACACCTACTGATGGCGAGAGTGAGTTGTTATGACGGTTATGCTAACATCGGTTGTGGTGTGCAAGCGAAATGGCGGCTCGTCCTGAGTAGCCTCTCAATGTGGAATTTTACAGTTGGAGAATCTAAACTACGAAATTATAAATCTTAAAAATCAAAGATATAGGAAATTCTAGAAGATTATCTAATGCTAATTTAGCAAATGAAGAAGGAATTATAGATCTTATACGGATTTTTTTTTTTTAGATAAAAGGAATATTAGAGATATTCATGATGGACACGTATACGGAGAGAGGGAGAGATGGAAAGGGGGAGGGGGGGGGGGTATGAGAGACAAGGTATTTGGGACTGACGGTAGGAAAGTAAGTTTCTGGAGGTATGAAAGGGGAAAGGTTGAGGGAGAGAAAGGTTTGAGGAGGGGAGGGGGAGGGGGGGAGAGGGAGAGGAAGGAGAGACAGACGTAGAGAGAGACACACAGAACGAGACGGACAGAGAGAGACAGAGAGACAACGAGACGAAGAGAGAGACAGACAGACAGAGAGAGAAAAAAAAGACCGACGGACAGAGAGACTGACGGACAGAGAGAGAGAAAAAAAAAAGACCGACGGACAGACAGACAGACAGAGAGAGAGAGAAAAGAGAAAAACCAGGACGAAAGTAGGTGTAAAGTTGAGATGAAAAAAAGTATACTGTACGTGAGTAATATGATAAAATCAACATCTCCCAATATAATCCTTATCATGAAGAAAAACTCCACAAAGTCTTGCAAGATCTACCCTCTCATAAGGCCCCAGAATCATTTTCAGAACCATCTTGATCATCACGTTTCGCCCAAATCATCATCTTCAGTCACCTCCTCGTTGCTATGGCATATGATAGTGGCCTCGATACAAAAGAGGAACTTTCTACGGCCGCGCTGATGCCCCTCACGTGATGCAGTGAATAGACCTTCTTCATGATGCCTTCGCTACCTGGGAAGGTGAGGTGTCATACAAACCTCGATGGTCCAAGGACATTAGCCTTCTGTACATGGGCTACATGTTATGTCATTAGCATGCTGTACATGACAGATGCGTCTGAGTCTGTTTCTGTCTTAAATTGTCTGTCTGCGTGTCTGTCTGTCTGCTGTCTGTCTGTCTGCGTGTCTGTCTGCGTCTCTGTCTGTGTCTCTGTCTGTGTCTCTGTCTGTGTCTCTGTCTGCGTCTCTGTCTGCGTCTCTGTCTGCGTCTCTGTCTGCGTCTCTGTCTTTCTCTGTCTGCGTCTCTGTCTGCGTCTCTGTCTGTGTCTCTGTCTGTTTCATTAACTTACGTCACTGATAGATACGTCTTTATAGCTCTGGGAAAAGTCGGGTTTTTAACAAACCTCTAAACTCAAAGGCCACCGGCATTCTATACAGGGCAGACACATACTTCTGAGAAATAGCGACGGCAGAGGAATGCTCGTTTGTGACATCTGATAAAACTGTTGTTGCAAGTTTGAGACTAAATACGGCTGAAAGACTAAGGTAACTGCTAACGATGGAGACTGTAGGGCAATTCAGGTTATGATGGGATATAGATAATAAAAATAAGTGAGATTGGTGCAAAGAGTTGCAATTACAAAGCCATCTTAAAGAAACAGTATATGCAGAAATACAGCAAGGAATCATTTACGTTGCTAATATGATACATGATCTGATTTTAACCTTCATATTAGAAGTCTGCAAATGGTGAAAAATGCACGATTTAATAAGTAGGCGTACACTCTTAACAACTAAATAAGTCATTTATCCCCAATATACTAACAGGATGCCTCAAATTCAAGATGTAGTTATATCACGAAATCTAACAAAGCATAGATAAAAATGATAAGAATAATAAGAAAAAGAAGAACAGCAGCAACAAGAACAATGACAGTAGTACTAATAATGATAATGATTAAGATAATAATAATAATAATGGTGAAGCGACATATTGAATCGAAACGCGGCAACTCATCAGTGCGCCAAAATATAAAAAATTATTTTCGCTAAAATACTTGGTTCGAGATTTAATAAAAGAAAACTACATATAGCCTTGCTTATTATGTATATAAGAGTAACAAATAATTTTACAGTTCGTCTTGAGGTCATTCAAAATTGACAATACAATTTTGAATTCAATCTTGGAACTTTAGAACATAGATCTAAATTTAGGTCATTAGTATGGGGTATACATTTTCTTCCCAAATACACGCCATGCTTTTACCTATTTTCAGCACGATAAACAAAGATAAATAGGATAAACAAATAAACAGGATAAATACAAATAAATAAATAAATGGATAGATAAATAAATAGATAGGATAAACAAGTACAAATATTCAGAAATTCAAACCAAAGCTATTACTAGCATTCACCTAATCAAGTTTATATTACAGAGTACCCACATCACTGAATTAAGGCTTGGGAATACTGGCACCTTATCATTATGTACTAAACCAGTTATCAATGCATATCAGCCGTAATTGCAAATGAAAGTCATTCTTTGCCCAGCATGAAACATTTTTTTTCACCTCATTTTTTTCTACAATGGCCTGCTAGATTCGTACAAAAAAATATATATATATATTGCAGATTCTCACAAATATCTATCGTAAAAAGAACTTTGCTGATACAAACATCTAACAAAAAGAACATTTTTAGATACTCGCAAACATCTAAAAGAACATTGCAGATACAAACATCTACCATGAAAAGAACATTAGATACAAACATCTAACAAAAAGGACATTGCAGATACTCACAAACATCTATCGTAAAATGAACTTTGCAGATACTCAAACATCTACCATAAAAAGAACATTAGATACTCACAAACATCCAACATATTCTTGATCAGAATGTTGGTCGTGTTCTTCGATCTCACGGCACCAGCTTCCAAGAAGGCAAAACCGGCCTGCAAAACTGAAAGAAAAAAAGAATATTAGACTATGTAATCACTTGTCAATAATGATTTCTATTCATGATAAGAAAACGTGCCTATCACATTTTATGAAAAGAAAAATCTATACAAAATTACAAATAGATACATCGATTTTTAAAAATATACGCATCGCCATGTAAACTGAATACAGATCCAATAAAAAAACAAAACTAATTCTACGAAAATGAAATTAATGATGGATAGATCGAGCAACCGCCGACGGCCTGTTCAGCCTCGTGTCAATGTACGGAAAATAATAGGTTCTAGGGCGGCCCACACATCCCGGGCGCCTCTCTCGGTCGGAGGAAACCCCGGCCTAGGAATTCCTCCGCGGACCGTTCTGCTGGAGGCGAGGCAGGGATGACGGTGGGGGGAAAGGGCGGGGGGGGGGGATGTTTGGTTTTCATTCGATTCATCAAATTTGGGAAGTAAGAGATATACACGTGTGGTAAATACATACATACATACATAAACAGGACGCAAGCAAGTATACGATACGCACGCACACGCACACGCACACACAACACACGCATGCATACACACATACACACGCGCCCGCACACACATACACACGCACACGCACACACACACACACACACAACACACACACACAAACACACACACACACACACACACACAAACACACACACACACACACACACACACACACACACACACACACACACACACACACACACACACACACACACACACACACACAAACACACACACACACACACACACACACAAAATTCGTCCTGTTCTTATTGCATCATTCAATCGAATTCTACTCATACATCATTGACACAGCCCATGATCGACCTTAATTTATCAACCGCCCATTCGCTCAACAATGCTCTTTCCGCCAAAAAACAACAAAAAACAAGAAAAGAAAGAAAAAAAAAAACATACTCTCTGAAGAAGCATAGTATGAACGGGATGTCAAAGCGAGTCGTCTGCGGAGTAACAAGAATAGCAATGTACACAGGCAGCTGGTGAGAGGTTCAACAGTAAACAAAAGCCATGTTGGGGCCATGACATGCTAATGGAAAACCGGCGACACAAAGAAGTTTTAGAAATTACGATTGAATCTCTCTCTCTCTCTCATTCTCTCTCTCTCTCTCTCTCTCTCTCTCTCCTCTCTCTCTCTCTCTCTCTCTCTCTCTCTCTCTCTCTCTCTCTCTCTTTCCTATCTCGATTTCCTCTATGACTCTCTTTCACTGTCTGTATGCCTGTGTGTGTGTGTGTGTGTGTGTGTGTGTGTGTGTGTTGTGTGTGTGTGTGTGTGTGTGTGTGTGTGTGTGTGTGTGTGTGTGTGTGATTGTATGAATTTCTTTCCCTTTCTCTTCCCTCGATGCGTTTTCTTTCTCTTCCTCAATATGTGTCACTCCATCCCTCTTCCTCAATGTGTCTGTCTCTCTCTCTCTCTCCTCAATGTCTCTCTCTTCCTCAATGTGTGTCTCTCTCTCTTTCTCAATGTGTTCTCTCTCTCTCCCTCTCTTCCTCATGTCTCTCTCTCCCTCTCTCTTCCTCAATGTGTCTCTCTCTCTCTCTTCCTCAATGTGTCTCCTCAACGTCAATTCTCTCTCTCTCTCTCCTCTCTCTCTCTCTCTCCTCATGTGTCTCTTCTCTCTCTCTTCCTCAATGTGTCTCTCTCTCTCTCTTCCTCAATGTGTCTCTCTCTCTCTCTTCCTCAATGTGTCTCTCTCTCTCTCTTCCTCAATGTGTCTCTCTCTCTCTCTCTTCCTCAATGTGTCTCTCTCTCTCCCTCTCTCTTCCTCAATGTGTGTGCCTCTCCCTCCCTCTCTTCCTCAATGTGTGTCCCTCTCCCTCCCTCTCTTCCTCAATGTGTGTCTCTCTCCCTCCCTCTCTTCCTCAATGTGTGTGTCTCTCTCTTCTTCAATGTCTCTCTCTATCTCTCTTCATCAGTATGTTTGTCTCTCTTTCTATTCCTTGATGTGTGTGTTTCTTTCTCAATGTGTTTCTCTTTTCTTAAAGCATGTCCCTCTTCTTTTCAATCTCGCTCTCTATTCTCGCTCTCTATTCTCTCTCTATCTCTCTCTCTCTCTCTCTCTCTCTCTCTCTCTCTCTCTCTCTCTCTCTCTCTCTCTCTCTCTCTCTCTCTCTCTCTCTCTCTCTCTCTCTCTCTCTCCCCCCCCAAACACCTATGGTTTGCAATCATTCACATATAACACGAAACCGTCACACCCTATAATCCACGTCTTAAAAACTAAAATCCCCACGCCATCGTATTCTCCTAAACCTCCCGACGTCCTGTTATTCTCTCCTACACTTCCCTCGGCTTTCCTGCCTCCGCCTTCCCCCTATTACCTCCTGAATGGCAGGTAGAGAGGAGGAGGCGAGGCATGGCTTCAGGCTCTCAAGGTTGCGTGAGTTGCTAATCCTTCTGACCGTGAAATTTCATCCTGGTGAGTCCGAGATGACCTTCAGGCCCGTGCGCTGATAAACACGCATGCCTTTATACGCCCGTGGTCCTTTAACGTTGTGTGGAAGAACCGAGCGTTGGGTTGGGGCCTTTGTTTTTGGCCGTTCTTAAGGACAGCAGACTGATATTCTACGATCAGACTGTTTATGTTTTGTGGATTGACCGAACGTTCGGTTGGGGTCTTTGTTTTTGGCCGTTCTTAAGGACAGCGGAGTGATATTCCCCGTTCAACAAGGTATAAGTCCTTTTACGTTGTGTTTGAACGTTGGGTTGGGTCGTTCATGATATTCCAGTTCAGCCTATTGGAGAACAAGGAGTCCTTTAACGTTTGTGGTGCCGTTGGGATCTTTGTTTTTTGGCCGTTCTTAAGGACAGCGGACTGATATTCCACGTTCGAATTATAGGAAAACAAGGCATACGTCCGTGGTCCTTTCCGTTGTGTGGAGGGGCTGAACGTTGGGTTGGGGTCTTTTGGGCCATTCGTAAGGAGAGTGTAATGATATTCCACGTTCAGACTATTGGAAAACAAGGCATACGCCCGTGGTCCTTTACGTTGTGTGGATGGGCCGAACGTGGTTGGGATCTTTGTTTTTGGCTGTTCGTAAAGACAATGGACATATTCGACGTTCAGACTATAGGAAAACGTGGTATACGCCCGTAGTCCTTTTAAGTTGTGTGGAAGGGCTGAACGTTGGGCTATTCGTAAGGAGAGAGTAATATTTCACGTTCAGACTATTGGAACACAAGGCACAAGCCTGTGGTCCTTTACGTTGTGTGGAAGGGCTGAACGTTGGGTTGGGGTCTTTGTTTTGGCCATTCCTAAGGACGGTGGACTGATATTCCACGTTCGAACTATAGGAAAACGAGGTGCTTAGGTAGTTACTTCGGCTCTACAAAAACAAGCAATATAAATCCAACGATTCCTCTTTTTCCTTTTCTTTTCTTGACTTTTTTTTTTTTTTACTTATTTTTATTCTTCATTTTTGTCATTTTTACAATCAGCTGAGCGATACGATTATTATAGGGTGCCGCCAGCTCTAATATCGAGTATCGAATCACCGGAAACGAGGGCCCTGGTCTTGATAATAGGCTGATTATCCATTGATTTTTAAGGGTGAATTTCCGCTGGTCCTTCTGCGTCTTTTCAACGCGTGAATTCTCGAGTGGCATGACGTGTGTGTTCTCCTTATCATGTGTGACTGACAAGTTTCTATCCAATTATCTTTAATTGCTTTGTTTCTTGTTTGTTTGCTTGTTTTTGTTTTTATTTTCAGTTTACTTTATTTATTTTCATTTCTGATTTATTTATTCATTTTTATTTATTTTTATTTAACTATTTTTATATTCTTATATATTTGTATTTAACTGTTAACTGTTTTATTTAACTGGTTTATCTTTATTTTTTATTTATTCACTTATCTTAATTTCTAATTTTATCATGCGATTTTAAACGTGACTACTTTTCATCGAGAGACTAAAGTTGTTTATCGTTTATTTTCAATTTACAGATGCAAGTGTATTTACTGTATGTCTATTGTATTCATATTCGTATTTGTATTTGTGTGTCTGTGCATTCATCTGTCTGAGTGTGTGTCCCTGTGTGTGTTCATCTTTGTGTATTTCTTTGTGTGTCTTTGTACCTGTGTGTGAGACTTTGTATGTGTGTGTGTGTGTGTGTCTTTGTATGTGTGTGTGTGTCTTTGTATATGTGTGTGTGTCTTTGTATATGTGTGTGTGTCTTTGTATATGTGTGTGTGTCTTT